AAAAATAATAACAAAAGCAGAAAACAAACCAGATCATAAACAACTACCACAGTAAAAATGCAAACAAAAAACCTAATTAAATTACAAATTACTTCAAAAATAATAATTCTGAAATACTTAATAACCTCGAAAATCAGATTCAAAATTTATCTAACGCCAAACATTTTGAAAATAATTTTGAACAATATAACACTCATTCAATAACATATATTAAAGAATTAACTCTTAGATAATTGATTTTAACTTAATTGGTGTCTGTATCAGGATCAAGTTCACCTTAATGGCATTCATTTATCCGAAACCGATCATGATCGCTTATTCTCTCTGCTAAATAAAAGAAGACTACAAGCGGCACATGTAGCTAATTCCAGGCATCTCCACTTCCAATCATAGTTTCCGTCATCCACTACCTTGGTGGATTCATGAATGTAAAAAGGCAGTAAAAGATGGATTCTTACGACGACCAACCTCTGAAAGATTAGATACATACAAAACAGCCAGGAAACTTGCAAGATATATAATAGAAAAGAATAAAAAATCATCTCAGAACTTTCTCAGCAAGATTAAATACCAAGTGCTATCTTCTGGGAAACAGTTAGGAAAATCATGGATTATGGCTATACTTCTCAAATTAATTGTTTGAAAAATCGCAACCATTACGAAACTGAACCAACCACTTTAGTGAACATGGTAGCAAACCATTTTAGCAACCTCAAATTTTAATAGACTTCTATGAAATAAAACAATCCTATGAATCCGTACCTATTATTATTACTAACAATACATTAGATCTCCTAAATCAACCTTTCTCCATGACCAAAATCAGCTCCTCTTAGAACTCTGGAAAATCATATATAGGAAAATCATATCAAATAAATCATATATAGGAGAAAATGGACAATGGTTCTCAAAAAGAATAAAACAACACGAACAAAACTGCAACAACGGCATGAAAAATTAGATAATATTTAGCCGAAACCTGGTTTGATAGTAACTCAACACGCTCGTAAAAAAAAAAAAAAACGCTGCAAATTATTCCACAATGGTTTATTATTTCCAAACAATTATACATCTAAAGTAACATTACCTTCCTAGTTACAAAGAAAAAAAATACAAGGTGATTCCAATTATTGGACTAAACTTTTTTTTTAATCATTAGTAATATGCTAAAAAAAATAGCATTACTTCAGTGACACATTCAAAATCTAAAAACCAAACAAACGATATAACATTTGGAGTAGAACATATTTTAAAAAACCGAAGACCATATCTTTGCTCCTAATTGTCCGATTTGTTTTTCTTTAGTTTTTAGGAAATTTCGTAAACTTTTAAAAAACCTTATACAATACCTACAAAAAAGTGTAAACTTTTTGAGTTATTTGGAATTTAATTTTACCATCCTTCGTAACTTTTTCCAGCTTCTTTTTGTTGAAGTATGTTATATAAATAAATTTAAAGGGCGTAGAGAAAATGACTTAGCGAAGTTTCATTGAAATCGCTACATTCGTTTAGGCGCTACAGTCTATAGCAACGCAGGTTTTTCGGCTGCCATTTTGAAATTAAAAGGCGGATAATAATGTCGATGAAGGAGCATCATCCTCTGACTTTATATCCAAATTAGAAAAAAATCAGTAGTTTTGGAGAAAATGCGCGGACGGCGGACGGACAAAAAAAAAATGTTTATTCGTTTTTCGAATTCTACGCATCCTGAAACGTGAAACGTCAAATTTTGAGAGGGGATTAAGTTTTTGAATTTTTTGCTCGGTCACAATGGTTGATTATTGGAAATAATAAACCAATAAATAAATAAAAAGTAATTTTACTCACTAAATTCAACACTCGAGGTGATAGGTTGGGGCAAGGTCTGAAAACTGTTTTTAGGAGTTCAAAACTTTGTTAACAATAGGGTATATCTGGTTTTTCTGGCGATTTGCGAAATTGACCAAAATTGCTCGCAATGTTTTGAAATATCGTAACAGCTACGCATATATTTAAAAACTGGAATTTCAGCTGTCTCAGGATTCACTAGAAGTATCTAATTCTGTCCAGTACACACCGTTAGGTTTTGAGTTGAAGTGGCTTTATCCTACTTCCCGACGACAATTCCTCCTTGCTGTTTTCCTTTTCCAAGTCTTCAGAACCAAAAACCCTCTCTACATCCTGGAACTCTTTACTCTGCGCTCCTCTATCCCCTCTCTCAATACTAGGTCTCAACCTTTATTCGAGAAAAGCCGTTCCGGGTGGAACGAGAAAAGCCGTTCCTGGTGGAACGAGAAAAGCCGTTCCGGGTGGAACGAGAAAAGCCGTTCAGGGTGGAACGAGAAAAGCCGTTCCGGGTGGAACGAGAAAAGCCGTTCAGGATGGAACGAGAAAAGCCGTTCCGGGTGGAACGAGAAAAGCCGTTCCGGGTGGAACGAGAAAAGCCGTTCAGGATGGAACGAGAAAAGCCGTTCCGGGTGGAACGAGAAAAGCCGTTCCGGGTGGAAGAGAAAAGCCGTTCCTGGTGGAACGAGAAAAGCCGTTCCGGGTGAAACCAGAATGACCGTTCCGTGTGGAAAGAAGAAAGGCAAAAATTACTCTGAGTTGAAAGTACAAATTACAAAACATTTTGCTTAAATACTAGCGCGGTTCGAGTATCGTGTACTTCAATCACTGCTCGACTTGATGATTGACGAGTACAAAAACTGCTGTTCCATACTTACTTTAAAAAGTACTTTCCATTTTCACATTTACTCAGAATTATTTTACTTCGAGTACTTTTCAAATTAATCTAGTTCGACAAATTACAGGAGTAGGATATTTTATATTTCTTCAATATTTAAGTCCATTCTTATGTTATGGGAGTTATAGTTTTTAAAAATACTGTCAATATTTAACGGGAATCAATAAATTATCGTATTATTAAGATGATCGAATTTATTCCATATTTAGATATACTGTTATGTTATCGGTGGCGCTTTTTAAGAAAATACTGTCGGATTTGAGAATGCGCATCACATTTTTTTTTACTTTTATGATTTAATTGTTATAAAAGTCCATTATTATGTTGTCGGGGGCGCCGTTGCGCATTCTAATATCCAACAGTATTTTCATAAAAAGCGCCCCTGACAACATAATAGTGGACCCTAATATTGATTAAGTGGGTCTTACATAATCCCAATATGGACGCCATTATTTTAGTAATTGAAAGGAAATATCTATACTGATAATAATGATGTCGTATTTGAAAAATAAAAAGTATTCAGAGGAATTTTACAGAGTAGTTTCCGTAATCGGAGATAACACCGCGATTACTTTCTGTATTTAACTAACGTTTGATTAATGAGTACTCAAAGTAATCGCTGCGGTCGGGCGAGTACAGAAGTAATGGAGTACAGCCCAACTCTATTGTAGCATGACTTCCTAATAAATTAAAACGCTGCAAATTATTTCACAATGGTTTAACATTTCCAAACAATTATACATCTAAAGTATCATTACTTTGCTAGTGACAAAGAATAAGAAATAAAAGGTGATTCCAATTATTGGACTAAACCTTTTTTTTTTTTTAATCATTAGTAATATGCTAAACAAAAATCAGCATTACTTCAGTAACACACTCAAAAACCAAAACAACGGATATATTAAAAACACCCTTTGCAACAGAGCATATAAAAAACATCTAGAGATCATATCTTAATGATATGATCATATCATATCATAACTAACCTTAATTGCTACAAATTCCTTGTACCTATTTGACATTGCTGCCGAACATTTACCCATCGAAACCTAAAGATGTTTATATTTTTAGATTATGTTCCAGCAGCACGAAGTTTCCTAGGGTTTCGTTTCCTTCTGAACCGTTCGTTCCGCCCGGAACAGTCCATCCCTAGTTGGTGATTCATACTATATATATATAATATTATATTTGTAAAATATATGGATATATTAGTGATATCGTTGGACAATGATACCAATAATGAATAGCCAAACTTGCCGGATATCGCAGTGACCTTAACCAATTTTATATAATACAGAATCAATAAAGTCAATTTTTTATAAAAGAACCACCAATAAAAGTAAATCAATAAAGGGAAAAATAAACATATAAAAAAGTTTTAAAAATTTATTTTATTTCAATTAAAAATATGTAAGTCCTTAACATTATACAATAGTTACGTGAAGCAAATATATTTTTATTTAGTATAATAAACATCTGTAAGAAAAATACAAGCTCATAATAAATTACAGAAATTTAAGGCAATATGGTGTATTTCAATAAAAAAAAGAATTAATTTTTTTTTAAATTGTTGTAGGACAAATAAATATTTTCAAACAGTCTTTAATATAGGTCGTTCTAAATTCTTTGGGAAATATATCACACTGCAAGAATACAAGGCCGAAAACTTAAAATAAGAGAAATTCTATAAAAATATTAGACATAAGTTAAGTTTCTTTGCTCTAGAAGACCCCACATGTGATCTCTCAGAAATGTGTTTCCTCTATATTTGTTGCTGAAAGATCATGTATTGTGTCTATTGACTTGACCTAATTTTTTAGGGATGGCTACACTTTAAGTGGTCCAACTCATAAAATGTTTGATGTAAGAAATTTTTAGTTGTATCTTTTGTATTGCCACAGTGCAATACAATTTATACACCATTTGAGTATGGCTCAATTTTTTTAAAAAGTGATATTAACAATTATGTTTTAAAGGATAAGTGGTATAGATTTTTAAAAATTTAGAATACAATTTTTTCACATTATAAGAATCATAAAAAAATGCAAAACTTATAGCTATAATTCTGGGTGAACTGGCAAAATTTACCAAGGTAAAAACCAATGCAGAAAATTTTAAGTAAAACAAACTCTAAATGCAGAATCCGTTTTAAATCAGAACTAATATAAGCCTTTCAGTTGACGAAATGACTAACTCCAATTTCAACATTTTTTAGTAAAGTCATTTTAGTGATATATTTAGTTGGATAATTTATATCTGTACAGACAGTGAGTAAGTAGGTTCCAGAGATGGTGATTGCGATGTTGAAATATAGAACTGTGAATAAAGGTACACATTTTCCCACTAGAAATATCACTGCAATTAATAATCAAAAATGTTGAAATTGGATTTAGTCATTCTATCAACTGAAAGGCTCATTTAGTCTTTATATTTTATCAAAATGTTCCTTGGCTTTATTATTACTTTTTCCAATAATTTTACTAATAATTTTGGATTCATTCTTTGTAAAAAAGAAATTTTCAGTTAATGAAGGAGGAAGGAAAGATTGGATTTTCATTCACCTGTCAATCATGGCAGTGCACCCACTAAAGTAAGTGAAAATAATTTTATTTATGTTTTATATACATTATAAAAAACATTTTTGTAAAAAGTACACTTATTGGAACTTTAACAAATAACAAATCAATCAAAACATACAAAGCTAAAGACAGACACTAAATCTATGCAACATAAAAAGATTTTACAATAGAAAATTTGTACATATCATTGATAAATACTATAAAAATATAAAACATGATGAAACGTAATGTGGAAGATAAATGATCAAAAATTTATTTGGCAATATGAAAAATTCATGAATATAATGTGTTCTCAAGCCACTCTTCCATCGTAAAGGTGGCCTTATCTGTATTGTTGGTATCTTTGTCTTTGAATATTTCTGAAAAATAAAATAAGGTTTCAATTTTTTGTTATGAATTTACTTTTTTAAATTAGCTATATTCTTTAGATATAAATTTATAAGTAATTGTTGTTGTTTTTTAAAAAGCTTGTCTACATTTATGTCCTATTTCAAATCCATATACCAATATAAAAATTATTACAAAAATATAAATAACCAATGGGTTTGAAAAAGTACATACATGTTACTAAGTGGAAATTATCTACAAAGAAAAAATATATTCAGGAGAAAGATACTGGAAGAATTAGAAATTGAAGAAAACCTAGAAAATGCAATATATTTCTTTTAAAAAGTTGGAAAATATAGATCAAACTTAGGGAAATACAAAAAAAACACTACATAGATTTTTAATAAATGTTTTTTTCCTTATATCTGTAAACATACTATAGCTTAAAACAAATCTTAATACATAGCCCAGACAAATCAGCACAAAAAAGGAAAAAAAAAAAGAAGCTTGGATTTTTTATATTCACTACATACCTAACAACATAAAAAAGAAATTTTAAATACCCGACCTTTTGCAAGGTAACATGTCTAATTTGACTAGGCTAATAGAGCATCTGCATAGTCTAAAGGAATGGTCTAAACTATACATCATAATGGGTTGTAATGGATTCTTTAAAGAGGAAAATGAAAATTGCAAATTAATCAAATGATAAAGTTGATAATTTTTGGAATTTACTCCCTGGATTTGTGAAGAAACAAATTTTGCCTCAAAAATATTTTAAATAATTAAATTATTTGACATATGTATTTTTCAGGAAAGCTGATTTTTACCGGCATAAATAGAAAACAAAGTAATGTGATAAATAAAATAAATAATAAAAACTACATTTTACATAACCTTAAAGACAAATTATCATTAACCAATGAGTAGTATACTAGGTAATTTTTGCTATCACTTGCCTATGCCTAGTCCTGCCATAAATATTGTTACAGGGAAATATATACAGATTTCAACAGAAAAATTAATTTTTTCAAAACTTTATTAGAAAATAAAATGTATATCTATAGAGAGTAAGACAAAACAAGAAATTACTCAAAATTTCTTCCTTTTGCCTTGAAACAGGCATTTAATCTCCATGGTCAGTCATCAATAGCAGAACGCAGCACTTCTTGAGGAAAGCGCTCAACTACTCTGACCAGAGATTGTTTGAGGCTTTCCAAGTTAGGGTGTGTTCTGTGGCATGCCATTCTCTCCAGTTAGGACCAAAGCCGATAATCTAGTGGAATGCTTTTCGTTATGGAAAGACCAGTTGGCATCAATACGATTGTCTGCAATCACTCAGCAATATTGGGAGCAGTGTAAATTAGCGGCATTGCATTCTGATCGATTTCTCTTATATAGGGAATTGAGCCACGATCTTAAAATCTTGAAATTCGTAGATGGCTGCTGTTGGGATTTGACAGGGCGCGAGTTGAGTTGGTTGATAAAGCTCAGGTGTGAACTCCTTTATTTAAATTACATCCTGTGGCTTGACAGGGAATATACGGATTGTCCACTCTGTAACCTTCCAGTAAAGGAGGACCTATTCCATTTTTTGGCTGAGTGTTCAATGCTTGGTCAAATTCGAATCAAATATCTTGGAACTAGTCCGGTCCGAAATGTATTCTAATTTCCCTTCTAAATGCCCCTTCTGTGAACAAATGCCGTAAAATTGTCAGTTTTGCTCGACATGTGTGGAAACACCGTTTTAAGTCGCTACATCCAGCATAAACAATGATCGTTCTAATTTATTTGTGGTCTGTTTTACTCATGTTATTATTATTCTTTCTATTTCTCATTGAGTCATCAATAGCAGAACGCAGCACTTCTTGAGGAAAGCGCTCAACTGCTCTGACCAGAGATTGTTTGAGGCTTTCCAAGTTAGGGTGTGTTCAGTGGCATGCCATCCTCTCCAGTTAGGACCAAAGCCGATAATCTAGTGGGTTGAGATTAGGCCATCCTGAGGGCCAATCTGAGGCAGAGATGAACTCTGGAATGTTTTGCAGCCACTGTTGAATTGACCTGGTCTTGGGAGCTGGAGCAGAATCCTGCTGGAAAACCCAATGACTTCCAGCAAACAGAGTATCATTTAGGCTTGACAACAGGCTCCAAAATATCATCCTGATAGGTTTTAGTGGCTGTTTTAACTCCTTTTTCACAAAAATGGAGCTTTGTGGTGCCATCAAAGCAAACTCCCCACCAAACCATCACTGAGGAAGGGTGATGACCTTTTTCCACTCTTCCAATGACTTCCTTGACTTCTTTAGAGCTGTGTGCGTACACACGATCATTTTGGCGATTAATTTTTTTTTCAATTATAAAAATTTTCTCATTGCTAAACAAAATCTTTCGATGAAGACCATTGGGTTAATGGCCAAGGAGCACTTTATGTCTATCCACTCTAATTCTTTTTAGGGAAGCGGTTAGCCTTTGTCCTGTCATTCTTTGAAATGCACCAATCCTCATCCTCAAGACAGAGCTTCCCATTTCCTGAGACATGATTTGTTTTTTTCGAATGGGCTTTCTTCTGAATCGAGCAGCCACTATTCTCACAGTGAGGGGAAGGTCCAGTCGATGTCTGTCCCATACAGATAGGGTCTAATTATATCTATTTATAGTGCGGTACACGAACATAGGGCTGATAACCAAAAGTTTCAAAGTTTTGAAAATCTCTGACCTACCTTTTCCTACTTTCAATTTTCTTTATCCATGGAGTGGGGTCCATGTTAACTGAGTGAAAGAAAAATAATAACTGATTGGGATTATTATCCTAACATGTAAAGAAACTAACCTGATAGAGATAAGGATTATCTAATTAAAGTAGAGCTGTTCAAAGTAGAACGCTAAGTAAAAGTTATAAAATAAAGCCGAAATGTTATATAATATATTAAGTAAAAACATTTTTTCATGTTAAAAGATTTTTTATTGGTGAAATATATTTGTCAGAATATTGTGGTCCGTTTTAAACCTTAATCTATTTGTGATTAAATAAAGATCGCACAAATACAACAAAGAAAATTTTATAAATTACTAAAGAAAATTGTCTACTGAGATTTGATTATATGATAATAAACCCTCTGTATACAATAGCTACTTACCCATCATAGTCTTCAAACGGACAGCACACATCATGAAGTCATCGAATGCTATCCTTCCATCTTTACTTGCATAACGATGACATAAAGCATTCAATATGTGATTGTTAAGCTGGTATCCTGCTGATTTCATAGCTTCTTTCAATTCAAATGGACTCAAATAGCCAGCACTTGATTTATCATAAATTTTAAACACAGCCTGAATAAAAAATAGAAAAACAATTATTTATGCTCAAAAATAAGATTCAATATATATTTTTTTAAATTTACATCTTAAAAATATCTGTAACCTTAACCCATTTGTTATGAAGAGCACGCCAGTGCATATATTCCCTTCCTACTGTAGGATTACAAGCATAACAGTCTACTATTAAGTTTCACCATCCTCTCTAGTCATCCAGAAAAGCCTTCTTTGCCATTCCAGTATTTTAAAATGATTTGAAAACCAGATGAATAAGGAATACCTTTCACTGTTCAGAAGTTATAAGTATTCGAAGTTAAGATATGTAATCCGCATTTTCCTTTTATGAATTAATTAATATATATTAGTTGGCCTGTGTGCGACATTTTTTTTTCTCTTTTTTAGGGAATATAGAAACTTTTCAAATCAGCATGTGTATAATCAACCATAAATTATATCCTTTTTTGAGCAATGGGCAAATAAAATTTTCATTTCTTCATAACTTTTTCCTTACAATTTGGAGAATGTGCTTATTTGTTGTCCCTGAAGGGGAAGATAATCTTCAAAATAATGGCTAGATCATTGGATTTGATGAAGTATGAATATGTAGTGTGCCAGCAAAAAAAAAACATTAGAGAAATAATATTTAAAGATTCTTTGAAATATAAATTAGTTTTTAAACTATTATTCATTCTACCAAAATAAAGTAGTTTGATTTGTTGATCTATCGCTCATAATGCAATTATTCATTGATCTGTTGTTTTACAGTTTCGTAAGAAAACTTTTAGTGTCAACAAAAAAGGAACACTTAACAATAAAGAAGTTTATGTTAAAAAGCAATAATAGTAAGAGATAAAGAAATGGATATATGTCTATATTGCAACACACATGACTGTGTGAACATATTGCAGTAATTTTACTTATATTTGCTGAAAATCACCAGTTATTAAAATTTATTTTAAAGAAGCAATAATGATTTACTGAATTTAAAGAATTATAATTGTTAAGATATTAAATTTTATAATACAATGGTTTTGGATATCAAAAGTTGTAAAAATAGTGAGTATTAAAAAAATATTCACACTGAACCAAGTTCATTCTTCAACAATCCAGAAAGATCGAGGCATGGCCTGAGTTCGAAGAGTTATGATCTAAAAGTTAGTCTATATTCAGTCAGTACCCAGTGAGTCCATTAAATAATCAGTTTGAGAGTCCAGTTTTAGTTATAAGTTCGTACTTTACAAAAAATGTTTATTTGAAGAAAGCTAGTTGTGAACAGTTATCAGTGTTAATATTACATCGTTTAGTCAACAAGTGTTTAACGATATCTGTAAATTTATTTTAGGCATATTATGAAATGACCAAGTTTCATCAACTAGACCTCCGGTAACGATTGTAATTTTAAATTACCAATAAAAATAATAAATCAATAAGGAATTTGAGTTTCTTCCAAGCTTATTATTAAAATAGTTCTTCTTCATTTTTAAGAGTTAATAAAATATTATTATCTTAACAATGTAGTTGCATAATATAAGTTTATTTGAATATTACCTAAAAAAAAAATAATAATCATTCAAATTCTTATAATTTTTTCAATCCACGATGTGGAATATATCTTTATTTTTAGTATACTCTATATTACACTCAATTTCTTTTCAATATTATTTGAATATAAGATCAATCACAATTTAAGATACTGGTGAAGAGTACGAAATGTAAACTAATTTCTGAACAGTTTATATTATTGTTACCTCATCCGACTTCAGTCATCAACCACTATATTCATATCAGTAAACATGACAGCAACTTTGAACATTAATACCTTTCGAACCGAAGACCATAGAATATTCTACTTTTCACCTGAATGTTTTGTAATACATGCTGAATAGTAAAAATAAAAACATCCATATACCACATTGTAAGTTAGACTTTCTTGATAATAATATATTCTTTATACCAATTAAAATGTTTTCCAAACATCCTTTATCCTTTTAATATACTAGAGAGAAGGATAGGTATCTAACATGAGAGTTCTTGCACAAGTAATTCCATATTTAAAAAAAAAATAAATCACAACTAATTAATGTTCTAAAACTAAGTAATATGATGTACAGTATACATTTAAGTCAAATTTACCTTCCACTGTTTAATATCCTTCCATAGTTGTTTGAATTCATCAAAGCCCAGTTTTCCAGAACGATCAACGTCCATCATGGCAATCATACTTCTACATACATCTTTTGAAAAACCTTGTTGAGTGACTTCTGCAATTTTATAAGTGATATTTATAATATATATTGTGAACGATTGATATTAGAGAATAATCTTTAATAATATTGAAAACAGAATAAAAATAAAGCGGCCATGTTAAAGAGTGAATTTCAAAGCGAAAAATCACAACACATTCATTAAATAGAAAACAAAGACACACAATGGCAAGTGTAAGACATTTAATTTTTTTTTAACTCTTTAAAGAGATCTATTACTCTCAAGAGACTTTGAGATATGTATCTAATAGTAATGTATATATGCATATTCTATTTTTTGTTCACTTCAAAGATTTCACTAAAGTTTGTTGTTTTGTTCCAATCGTTGAGTTGGCAATTCAAACAAGAACTTTCAATAATATTAACACTCATTATGAAAGTGAATTTTTGAGAGATATCACTATAAAATTAAGGTGAATAAAAAGTAAAACAAAAATTATGTGTATTAGAAAACATAATATGGCAACCTAGCAATAAGTTGAATTGGGAGAATATGGTTTTAAAGTTTTTCAACGTTTCTGTGTTAGGTATCTAAAATCACAGAAATGATGGAAAAGGAAGCTGAAATAATAAACAGATTAGCAGCAGCTAATACACTACATTTTTCCAAATCCAAAATCATCAGAAGCAGACTACTAAGTTGCACTACAAAAATAAGGCTGTGCAAATGTCTTATATGGCCAACAGCAACTTACTGAAATATGGACGCTCAACAAGTAGTTTCACAAATGGTTGTTCCCTTCGAGAGAAAGATCCTGAGACACATTCTTGTAGTAGTCAAAGACAATAAAACTTGGTGTTTGTGCCAAAATACAGAGTAAATATCAAGATTTGAGTATCTCCAACTTCGCCAGGTTGCAGAGGCTAAAATGGATTGGTCACGCCATGAGGATGGAAGATAACAGGTGTCCTCTAAAAGCATGCAGGAATACGCCAAGTGGGACAGAACCCAAGGGAAGACCCAGACGACACTGGAAGGATAGAATGCTGGTGGACATGAGACAGGCAAGGATGAACATTAAATGCTGTAGATAGGGTCATTTGAAGCAAAATGATTGAGCAGGCCAAGGACATCTTCATGATCTGTCACGCCATTAAAGAAGAAAATGAATACTACTATAAATTGTTGTTGCCATACAAACAGAAATTGGCCCTTACTAATCTGGCATTGAAAAATGAAACACCTCGTTACATAATATTATAAATTCTAAAGTGATCAGCTGAGCAAAAAGCTCCTTTTTATATCAGGAAGAAAAAATATTAGAAGCCCAGAAGAAACAGTAATGAATAAAACATGACTGTAAGTGTACAGGTATTGTTCATTCAGAATAGAAATAGGTAAATTATGACAAATTTGAATCTATTTTCATCTGAAATAGTTTATAAAAACAATATTCAAGATTTTTATTTCAGTCAGAGAGAAAAATATATTAGACATTTGAGGTGGTTTGTTTGAAACTTCACCAAAAAATTCATTATTGTTAGCTTATAATTATTAATTGATTAATAAAAACAAAAAAATCAAAGAAAAAATATACTAATAACATATTAAGAAGTTTTTTTTATTTATAAGCCTGGTGAAAAAAAAAGGTAAATAATAAACAAATATAAATGGTTCTGAAATAAGCAAAAATTGTTCAAAAAATTATTGGAAAAAAATCCCAATATTTATATCTTACCAAAAGCAGAAGCGAAAGGTGCCTCACGACAAAATTGACCACAGAAGAGTGATAATAAAGAGGTTACAATATTCTCCTCTTGTCTTGGAACGTCTAGTTAACATACATTTTTATGTTAAAGCAATTAATATACAAAAACATACAAACAAAGATAAAATGAATATAACAGAAAAAAAATAAAACATAGCATGTAGGTACGTTAATAAAGAAATTTATTACATAAGAAAAATAGTATAAAAAGGTTGTCAAATCAAAGAGAGAAGTAGATTTGAAATTATTTTACTGTTCATAATCGTAACCTTGTGTGAATGCATATTAGTAAAATATGTTCAAAATGAAACAAAGTTAATGGTTATTTATTTATCTTTGGATTTCATATCTTTGATAATTGATAAATACAATACAAATTCCCTCAGAATCGGAGAAAACATAATTTAAATTTAAAAATAGATTAGAGGGCGATAACAAAATAAACACAGCATTTTTTTTATTTATTGTTTTTTTTCTTCTGTTCTTCCCTACCTCGCCTTTTAGGCTACACAGGATTTTCTCGAGCTGGAGAGAGGGGTGTGAGGGTGCGGAATTTAAAATACTCTCCGGCACCAGTACGCGAACTCGTATTTTTTAATCTTCTCAAATCTGTTATTGGGTAACCAGGCAATTCCCGGCGCTGTGCCCACACTTTAGCCCATTTGGCCACCCCGCCCCCAGAATAAACACAGCCGAAATTAGTCATTTGGTTGTGTTGAGCTTCTAGTAATAGCTGAGTACAGCAGTTAATGACTCTCATCAGGTCTACAACAATCATCCCAAGTATCATTGAAATAATCTGATGGGGTTTGAATGCCGAATTTCCGAAATTTCTTATTGTTTTGTTTATTAGAGTTCTTTCATTGTTAGTAACAATTCAAAATGGATAAATACTTTGGCAATTTGAAAATAGTTTTCTGGAAATAGTACTGGTATAGATATACTAATGGAAATTTTATAAAAACTAATATCTAACAAAGGGAATTATGGAAAGTGGCAAAAAATTATTGACTTATAATAGTTATAGTTGATTATCTCCAACTGTTTATATAGAATGGGAAATAAACGTTTCCATTGAAACTAAGTGGAATTTCTAAAAAAAAATATTGAAATCTAAATATTTTTTTCTAAAGTTTGTTGTTTTATTCTAATGATTTATTAACTTTTAAAAAAATTAATTTTGTACCAGATTTCCAAAAGTATATTTTAATGATATTTAATCAATTTATTCGAAATATGTAAATATGATATAAGTAAGAATTTTTTTCTATGCTGAGTAATAATAGGTAAGTCATTAAAAACAACAATATACAAAAAGCAATCTGACAACAAAACAAAGCATTTACTAATTGAATAAAACAAATTATTTATTTACACTGATTGAGGACCACCCATGAGAAAGCACTAAGTCCAAAAATAAATCTATAAGCAAAAATATTAATAAATTCATTTAAAATGATATTATCTGTTGTAAACTATCTGAAACAGTTTCTAATTTGTATTTAGAAAAATGTAATAAGATTTTGGCCAGTTTACCATAATCGGCTATAATTATTATGTCAGCCATTATATCAAGGTTATTTATATACCTAGTCCTGTCATAAATATTGTTACAACGAAATATATACAAAATTCCACAGAAAAATTAATTTTCTCAAAGGCTTTATTAGAAAATAAAATGTATTTTTATAGATAGTAAAACAAAAAAGAAATTACTCAAAATGTTCCCCTTTTGCCTTGACACAGGCATTTGATCACCGTGGCCAGTCATCAATAGCAGCACTCAGCACTTCTTGAGGAAAGCGCTGAACTGCTCTGACCAGAGATTGTATGAGGCTTTTCTCTGGAATGTTCTTTAGCAGTCACTGCTGGGTTGACCTGACCTTGTGAGCTGGAGGGAAATCCAGCTGGAAAACCGAATGACGTCCAGCAAACAGAGTATCATTTAAAGGCTTGACAACAGGTTCCAAAATATCATCCTGATAGTTTTTAGTGGCTGTTTTAACTCCTTTTTCACAAAAATGGAACTTTGTGGTGCCATCAAAGCAAACTTCCCACCAAACCATCACTGAGGAAGGGTGATGACCTCTTTCCATTCTTCCAATGACTTCCAGGGCTTCTTTAGAGCTGTGTGCATACACATGATCATTTTTGCGATTAAATTTTTCTTCAACAGTAAAAATTTCATCATTGCTTAACAAAATCTTTCAATGAAGACCATTGGTGTGATGGCCAATGAGCACTCAAGACAGAGATTCCCTTTTTCTGAGAAATGATTTGTTTTTTTCGAATGGGTTTTCTTCTGAATCGAGCAGCCACTATTCTCACCATTCTCACAGTGCGGGGAAGGTCCAGTCGATGTCTGTCCCATACAGATAGGGTCTAATTATATCTATTTATAGTGTGGTACACAAACATACGGTTGAGACCCAAAGGTTTTAAAGTTTTGATAATCTCTGACCTACATTTTCCAACTTTGGGTAAGGCGATCACAGGTATTCGGTTTTCTTTTTCACCCCACTCCATGTTAACTGAGCGAAAGAAAAATACAAACTAATTAGGATTATTATTCTGACGTGTAAAGAAAATAAGCTGATAGAGGTAAGGATTATACTAGATAATACCCAAGGATGTAAACAAAGTTCAACTTTTGTAACAGTATTTATGGCAGAAATAGGTATTGTATTTGCTCAAAAAATGTAATTTTTAGACTGAAGTATTTTCTCAAATCTCCTTAACTAAAGTTAATATAAAAAATCTGTACAATAAAAAAAAAAAAAAAAAAATTAAAATCAGTCAAGTTTTCTTTTATAGATCAATATAGAAAAAGAAACTAATCATAAAAAAATCATAACTAAAATCTAGTAGTATAATGCCAATTAATACATATATTTTTAGTACAATATTTAATAAATTCCAAACAACATGCATATATTTTGAAATAAAGTTGCAGCATTACTTACTAGGATCATTACTGATGCTGGGTATCATTATTTTCTTTTGTTATTCTATAATATAGCTTTAGGAAAAAAATGTTTATACCAGAGATAAGATAAAACAGATACTGACCATTCCTCATAGCGTAGTCCAAAATTTCCTTTAGCTCAACCCAATCGATTTCGTCATCATCACCAGCAAGTTTCCTGAAAAACTCTCTAATTTTTTCATTTTTGGTACCTTCCTCTGGTGGAGGTTCTTCTTCGATAACCTGAAGGCATGAAGTAAAAGTACAATGTAAGTAATAATACTTTCTTCTTTCAGTTTATATTTTCTTATTTATAAATTGATGGAAATCAAACAATAATGTACTTACTCTAGGATCGATTGTACCAATGCTGATTTTGGTGTCTCTTTCCCTAATGAAAAAAAAAAAAATAGTATCAATTTTTTTTTAGAAAACTATGATTTGGTGAAATTGAGTATAATATACTTCTCTATTTAAATATGTGAAAATGAGTGTAACACTGTTATAGTAAAAGGAATATTTCCAAAAGTAATTAAATCAAAGATAGTGGGACTTTCAGAAGAAGTGAAAAAAATTACATTCCATAATTTTCAGAAGAAACAGAAGAAAATTATGGGTAAAAATTCAAATACATATAAAATAAATTGACTACTAAATTTTATAATTAATAGAAAAATAACTATTAACTGGTAACTATATCCAGATTTCTTCAATTTTAGTTATAGAATAGGTATAACCTGTAACTCGATGAGAGCTGAGACATGATAAAGGCCAATCTGAAAGTAATATGAACTGGACATGTTTCTATAGCACAGCTAAGCCAAAAAGGGAATAATGATTGCATGAAGGTGGGGAGAGCTAATAGAGCAAGGTCTTACATGGGCAACATGAAACAGCTGTTTCACCTTAAACTGTTTCTAAATGATGATCAACAAAAGTCATTACAATGATAGATTATAATTTCAAAAATGTTTTCTTAATTTTTAAAGGAATTATTTATTAAAAATTTTAATACGGAATATTTCAGCTACCATTATAAAAGTAATGGTAATATACATAACTTACTCCATTTCATTCTTCTTTTCAGTGAATACCCTGAGAATGAATTCTCCTTCCTCATTGGGATCAAAAGTAGATGGGACTACAACATATTCACCAGGAGGAAGCTTAAATCGGGATGTAACTTCTCGGCTATTTATAAACACGGGTGATTTGGCTACTGATGCGTTATACTTGAAGTAATTCAGGTCGAGAGGTTGAGGATGTTTTTCAGAATCATCGAGCTGAAAAAAAAATTATGGATCAATAAAGATTATTGAAAAATATTCTAAATTTACAATGATTAAAAGGATTAAGACTAAGAATTATTTATACTATTCATACCTTAAAAAGGTGTATTTAATCATAATTGATAAATGAAAAGAAATTTGGCTTTGGAAAAATATTTTAAATTTGACTTAAAGTAAAATTAATTATTTTATAATGAAAATCAAAAGTACATTACTTATGATTATTTTACAGTATTTATAAAATCTGATCAAAAGGTTTATAATTTTATAAGTTGTAAGTTGTATTTTTATTGACAAACTAAAATTAATATTCAAAGTAAATATAACAAAGGATTTTTCATTAACAAAGTAATAAAACAGATCAGATAAAATGTTTATAACTTTAATGAAAATACAACTTCATAATGCAATAAAAATTTTAAAAAATCATATTTGACATCTTAAAATTATAATTGTCATACCTTTCAATACTTACCAGATAAATTGCAAATCCTATTGTCAAGCATTCTGCTCCTATTTTTCTTTGTGATCTTCGATTTTTCTGCATCAAGGCTACAATAATTGTACATAAATTTTCTTCATCCTCTTCATCAGCATCAGTTAATATTACGTTGTACTGTGGGTTATGCCAAAATGTTTCTGTAAATGCATATTTATTGAATAAACAAAAAGACCAAATGTTGTATTTTATCATTAAATAAACTAAATTTATTGAGTTATATGTTAGCTAATGTGAGAATTTATTCATAATCACATATACTGTATTTTTATATATTTTATTAGAACATAAAAATAAGTAACATTTAAAATCTAAAATTAAGGCTATATAATACTATGATAAAGCCAGTTCTGCTAAACAGGTGTGAGACCTAGACATTAACCAGCACCCTAGAAAGAAGTATTGAAAGATATGAGAAAAAATCTCTCACATGACAAACAGAGTGATTTGGGATCAAAAGTACTAACATGTGGAGGAGAAATAACAATAAAGAGCTGCTTACAGAAACTGGTCAATCAATATCTCATATGAAGGCAAGGAGGTTAAGATGGGTGGAGTATGTATCTTGGAACAATCCATCAGGAAGCCTCTACACAACAATGAATGTCTCAATAGTCAGCAAAAGACCTTGTGGAGGGCCAAAAACCAGATGGTTAGATCAAAATAACAAAGATGTAATAGACCTTAAAGTAGATAACTGAAAATAAATAGCTGAAGATAGGCAGAGATGGAGAAGTCTGGTTAAGATGGCAAAGGATGTATAAGGTCTGTTATGCCAACAGAAAAAAAAAAACATTTAAAAAAATGTAGAAATTGAATTAGCTCAAATGTAAATATTTTTATAATAGGAAATTTGATTAACATTTCCCAACAATAACAACTGATGAAATTCTTTAATTTTCATCAGAGAGTAAGTTTTGACAAGTTACATGAACTTCAATATAACATATTTAAAAAGGATTCAATTGTTAGGCATGATATAAATATGATATATCATTAATATTATTTTCATAATGAAAAAAATATGTATCCTAAGTGTAAAGAAAGTAAATACAACATATGAAAATATGGAAGGTACTATACCATTATCACATTCAAAATTATGAAATTATTGTTTATTAAACATAAATACTTACCTAGGAAGTTTCTACAACCGCCAGCTGTAATACCTCGGACCCATTCTCCTTCAAACATATTGGTCACCCACTTTTTATCTGGAGAAACATCTTCCATTGTTTCTGGGCTTAAGTTACAAATCTCTACCCGGGAGAAATATTTGATAAAATCTCTATATGACATCCAGAATTCTCCATCAACTTCAAAAGTAAGGCCGATTTTCTCTTTGTCAGATTCAGAAATAAACCTCCATTCAGCTGATCTGCAATGCACAAACAGCTTTTCTTTAATAGATAAACTTCTTGGAAAGTGAATCAGGGTCTATTAAAAATTCCATATTAGAACAGCTAAGTTTTGATTATTCATTACAAAGTGGGTCTGGTAGATATCAAATTACCTATAGGTGTACCATGGAATTCTGGGAGAAAAAAAGTTATAATTCATTTAAACATGGAAACCCGAGATATGAAAATAACAAGAGGCATTTTGATTTTCAAATAATTTAGTATAATTAAAAGTCAATTTTGTTCTGCCAATTGTAAAATAAAAATATAAGAATAGTTATTATTGAATGCAATCAAAGAAAAACATGCTATTTAGCTGTAACTGTACTTTTGAGGAATCTAATCTAAAAAGCCTGTTTAATTTAATCATATTATAACATTGAGAAGTCTAATTCTAAACTATAATACCACTATAACTGCAAAAATGTGGCATCATATATGACAATAATACACACTAAAATGTATTTAGTATATCAGCAACCAACTTGTTAATGAGCAAGTATAATGGATTAAAAAATATATATTTCTAACTTGAATATATAATTAATAGCAAATTATAAAGTTATCATAATTTAACACCAAAAGTCATTTACTTATCACTCCAGGGTCCATTCCATTCAGCTTCATTTCCCCAAGGATTTCTCAACCTAAGAAGAGGAATTTTTCCTGAAGTATTCGGTGTAGCAATATCCATATAAATAACTTTAGTAATACTATAAGCGTGGCCTCGAACTAGACCTTCAGGTGTTTGCATTTCAACAACATTTGGATCAGGCTGAAAAAAATAAAATAACCAACATTATAACAGAAAAAAAGTTGTATATATTGTTTACAAATAATTATAACAATAATAATCATTTATTGTCTCATTTTTCCTAAAACAAAATAATTAATCAAAATTTTTTTAAAGAATGAATTCATATTTCAGAATTTAATTGTAAACAGTGCAGAGTTAATTTCAAACAACAGGATTGCATTAACAATCTCAGAGGGAGAAAAACTAACATTATAATATGAATTTTAATTTTAAATAAATATATTAGGCAGCAAAATGTAAAATAACCTTGATCTATAATCTATTTGAATTACACATAATCAAATAGAGAAATAAGAAGTAAATTTAGTTTAATTTAAAAAAATAAAATAAGACAGAAAGAAAAGAAAAGGTATAATTTTTTTTTTCCCCCTATAAAGGATTTTTCTTTCTCAAAACACTGACATGTATCTTTATTCTGTGCCACTGCCAACCCTTGATGGCTACCTATAGGTTACTACTGTGTATTTACCACAGTAGGAATGTCAAGGATTCATTTTCAAGTGTCACCAAGAAATATAGAGGTAACTGATCCAGGTGGGAATCAAATCCAAAACGTTCAGAACCAGGCATTCTGGGACCCTTGCTCGAATTACACTGTTCTACATTGATATTGTATCTCACTTGAAAACAATCTCATTTCATGTTTTTTGGTGTGAAAAATTCAAATTTCCACATAAAAATCATCAGTTAGCTCTAGTTTCAAAAATATAGTTACTTTTTGAGTAATTTGGAGAAATTTCCTGCTAATTTGGATTGATTTCTGTCTGACGACTAGCTATGAATCACAGAACCATTTTGTATACATTTGTATGCAGTGTTTACATTTCAAGTTACTCTTGAAGTAATTTATCTTGCTTCAGATATTCTTTCAACGATGTTGTCATGATAACCAGTAGTTTTGATCAAGATACTATGTCCAGGCAGCTCCTGACAACTTTTGTTACATTTGTGAAGAAGTAACCTTTTCAAGTCAAAAACGTCCTATCACCTAGATGATCAAGACAGCATTCCACAAGTATTTTGGGGTGAAGGTAGGTGACCAAGATAAACCGTGGGCCCCACAGATCTGCTGCATCACATGTAGCGTAACCTTTAAGAGAAAGGTCGTTCAATGCATTTTGCTGGAGGGAGCCTAATAATCACACTGACAACTGCTCCTTTTGCATGATCCCTCCTCTTTATCATGGAATGTCTCAAAAAAAGAAATCCGAAGAGAAGCATCATGACATCCCTTCTGCAATACGGCCAATACCACATGGGCACAAATTGCCTGTTCCAAGGCCTCCTAAACACTGTGACTTGAATGAGGGCGAGGATAAAGAAGAGAAAAATCCCCTTGGAGGAATTCCATCAGATGATTATGATTTTTTGATCGAACAAGAAGAACGAAAACCCCACTTGCTTACTCAAATTGAACTCAGTGACTTTATTCGGGACCTGGATCTGCCCAAATAGAAAGCAGAACTTTTGGGTTCATGATTGAAGCAAATAGAACTTCTTACAATCTGGTGTAAAGATTACAATGTACAGAAATTATCACAAAGGCTTGTTCCTCTTTTTCAAAAATTATGAGAACCTTGTTGCCTATTATGATGTCCCAGATCTGATGACAGCATTAAATCTCATTCATGACCCTTCTGAATAGAGGCTGTTCATGAATTCATCAAAGCTATCCCTCAAGTCAGTTCTGTTGCACAATGACAGTTTACTTTCCTCTATCCCTATTGGCCATACTGTCCAAATGAAGGAAACTTATCAAAACATGGAAACCCTTCTAAAATACCAGGATTACAAATGGCAAACCTGGTGGGACTCGAAAGGGATGGCAATTCTAATAGGCATGCAACAGGGATATACTAAGTACTGTTGTTTCTTATGTTAGTGGGACAGTCGGGACAGAGCATCTCATTACATCAGAAAAGAACTGCCTCAATGAGAAGTCCTGACCTCTGGACAAAAAAATGTTCTCTACAACCCTCTTGTGAGCCCTGAAAAAATCATTTTGCCTCCACTACATATACAGTTAGGGTTAATGAAAAATAGTGTCAAAGAAATGGACCAATCAGGAGAAGCATTCAAGCACTTGAGAGGAAAACTTCTTCGCTTAAGTGAAGCTAAGAGTTAAAGAGGGTGTATTTGTTGGGTCCACAAATCTGTGAGCTCTTAATGACGGGGAATTTTTTAATATTCTTCAGAGTAAAGAAAGAGCAGCATGGGGAGCATTTGCAGCTTTAGTTAATGGTTTCTTGGGTAACAAAAGAGAGGACAATTATACTGTCTTAGTCTATACCCTCCTTGTGAAATACAGAGATCTTGGTTGTAACAAGTCACTCAAGATTCACCTTCTTCATTCTCATTTAGACTTTTTGCCCAAAAATTGTGGATATGTAAGTGATGAACATGGTGAGTGATTTCACCAAGATATATCCTCGATAGAACAAAGATATGAAGGTCGTGGGATACTTCAATGTTCACAGACTCCTGTTGGAATGTCGCGAGAAATTTGCCAGAACATTAGTACAATCGTCAAGCAAAGAAGAAACGTTCTAAATACACTGCACAACAGCACAGTTCTTGCCAAGGGAAGTTGTAATTTAATGTTTTTTTGGTTGTAAAAGTATTTAACAAATAATAAAGCACTTTTAAAGCCTAAAAAATTATCGTGTAACTTCCAATCAAGATAAAAACTTTTCATCGAAGATACAAGCAAAAAATATTTTTTGTAGGGCAGTGTTATATGTAAGCATGCATGCTTTTATACTTTTTATAATAGATTTTAAAATAATTAAATTGAACTTTATACCTCGATGGAACAAGCCATGAGTGACTGACGTTCATAGGCTTTTAACATAACAGTCCATAAGTTAGCTGGAGCTTCTTCTAAATTATACATTTCACTTACTCCACCAGTAAAGTCCTCCATTGCTTCACAAGTACTGCCACCTTTAAGAGCTTCATAAGATCCATGAAGTCTATAAAAATATATTATATTAACAAACATAGGTAAAAAATTATATAATATATTATAATCTATAGACTAAGACTTCATATTTTTACTAGCTTTAAAATAAAAAAAGAAGGGTTGTGTCTAAGAAAGTTCTGAATGAATTGTAACATCATGCATGACATCCGCCATGTCTCCACTGTACACATATATCATGTTTAACTTGAGATTATCAATTGAATGTAAGTTAGGGCAACAAATTCTTCTCATTAAACCCTCGGGTTTTGTACCATAGGCATACAAATATTTAGTGTATAAATAACACAATTTCTATTTATTTCAGACTTTTGTGGAAATGCAATGAAAGTCATGATGATGAATAAGAAAACAATATCTGTGGTTAAAGATATCTTTATTAATTTTTAAATTTCAATTTTGTTAATTTATACAAAATGTGCGAAAGTGTCAACTTTTGTAGTGGAAAGCATATATAAGAGAGAAGGAGTTAGGAATATTATTATTTAATTTTTATGCCAACATTTCGACCCACTTTGCAGGTCTTCATCAGGGCTACAAAAGATACAAAATATAAAAGGTACATGGTGAAAATAAAATAAATGAATATAAGTAGATATAAAATAAGAAGTTTTCTGATAACTTTACATCATTATAAAAGCATATATAAATATGAATACTTCTTAAAAATATAATAGCAAATAAACAAAATATTCTTACTTGGCATAAGCTTTTTCCAAGAGTGCACTCCAAAATTCATTTGGTTCGGCTGAATGGAGGAATATAAGTTCTCCATTATAAGTAGGTAATCTATCATCCACAACTACATCTACCCAATTCCCGTATTGCCAAAACCTGTAATGTGGTCGGAAATTTAGATATATCGTTTCAATAATCTTAAATGAGAAACAAGGAATCGTTTATTAAACATATATTATATGTTAAATGTCGAAAAGAAAAGTGAAAAAAAGAAATTTTATTAAAAATGAAAAATTAGAGTAAAATTAATGCCATATTGTAATGAGTTTTGAATGCTTGTGAAACAAACAAGTATAAAATCCTTAAGAATCAAGCAAGGCTATAATTAGGTTTTTACCAGAAGGGGTCTGCTTAATTTTGGCATATTTTTTTTTCATCTCCCACTGCCCCCATAAAACATTTTGGTAAAATTAAACATTTTGTATTAGGTTATATATTTAGAAAGGGATATCATGATCAGGTAATATTAATTTGTGTCATTGATAGCATTGAGATAAAAAAACAAAACCAAAAAGAATAAATATTTTTAGTAATGGTATATATAATAAATAAAAAAAGATGGAGACGTAACACTGAATTCCAAAAATCTTCATTTTTACTTCCCTAGACAAAAAATATTTCTATCTCCAAAACTCTTACTCCATTTCTTCAATATCCTAAACCAAATTAGAACAATCCCTGCAATTGTCAGCATGTCAGTCTATTGTTACAATTTTATTAAGTTAAATGTTAAATAAAATAAAATTTGCCTGATCAGACTTATTTCTGTTGAAAAAAAAAATTCATTTATAGAAAAAATAGTAGCCTTACTAATTACAGGGTACAAAACAGACTTTAGTATCATCATATTTCAATTTTTCCTTTGAAAACACTGGCATACTTTTCCTGAGAAAAACAAAACAAAACCAAACCTTGCCCACCATTTCATTCTAAAGATTCTTGAACTTTTCTGCCCTTGGTAGCGACCTAGGTTTTTTTTATGGAAACCCAGCCCCCTGACAATTGGTTTCTGTCATGAATAGGTATAAATAAACCGTAATATAAATTAAAATCATTATTTATAGTCACTTATATTAGTCTGTCAGCACATAAAAATAAATAAATAATTTTTTTTTTAAATACCTAAAATGAAAAATTCCAGCATATTTAGATTCAAAACTTTGATCAGGTATTACAACTAGGTCAAATAAGTCTTGGTGTAATGTAAGGTTTGCAATAGCAGCTAAAAGCCAGCAGTCTCCTAACAAAAAAGAATGATACTTCAGATTAGATTTCAATTATATTTAATACAAATGAGTTTTATTTTAAATGTGAAATACTGCCATACCTAATTCACCCTGTTTAACGTCAAAACGGGAAGCACCTTCGACCACAAATTTTGGTTCAGGATGTATTTCCTACAAAAAAACAATAAAATTTCAAGGGTTGATATCTTATAATGTAAATAATAAAACTATTATAATTTTTTTGAAATAAAAAAAAATTTAATTAGCATTATTGCATAATGTTAAATAATAACATCGCTGATTATTGGAACATTTACTCGTAAAACCAAGATAAATGTTATTCCTTTGGACACTGTCATATTCTCTTAATCACATTGGGTCTATAAAATACTTGAATGACTTATATATATATGCATAATCCAACTTTGAATTAATCTAAATTTGCATTTCTTAACCACCCTGACAACAGCTTTATTTTTAGAAGCCATTATATCATTTACTTTAAGAATTCACCAAATGATACTTAATAAAGGGAAGGGATGGGAAACATAAGGTCATGTAGGTACGTGCTCTCAACCTCTGTTTCTGTTCCTCTTTTAACTTGAGGAACATAATATTGATCAGACTACACTGGTAATATTTAAATATGGCCTATTAAACCTCTTTTGATTATGTTTGCATCCATGTTTACATTACACATGTAAATCAAAGTAAAGAAAATAAGAGAAAAGGAAACAATGTATAGGAATGTCATTAAAAATAAGGACTTAAGAATGTAACCGTTCCAATGAAGAACGTTATGGAAAGTGGTCTGAGGAAAGAAGAACATTATAAACCAGGGTTGAAGATTGGAAAAATCTTTTGTCAATAAGAGGTTAAAAGTAGAAAATTTTCAAAACTGTTAAATAAAAGTTCTAGCTTACAAAGGCTTTTACTTTTTTAATACATATATAAATGTCATAAACAAGTATTTATTAAACTTTTAATTATTCCTTCTAAAATAAAAGTTTTAAGTACAAAAAATACATTGTTCAGTATTCAGAGTGAGAAACTAATAAATTCTGATGATACTAGAAAATATTTCCATATTAAAATTGTAGAACATTGTACACTGCAAATTTTGATTTCTTAATCAGAATTGTTTTATTAGAAAAGTAAAAGCTTTAAATTAAAAGTTTTTGAATTAACATTATAGATACTATCTTGTTCCATACCTTGTAAATATTTGCTATGTTAAATGCATAGAAAAGTTATTATGTTTTACATAGCTATCTATTTACATATACGGATTATTATATTTTCTGTTAATAAAAACGTAAAGGCATATTCACTTTTTCATTAAAGCCTATTCAAGTAAATGGTTTATAAAAAATGTTATTTAAAACTTTTATTAATGAGGTTAGAAAAAAAAGTGAAGAAAATAACTGTTTTGAATTGTTATGCATCAATAAAAGTAAAAGATCAACAAAAACGTTTATACATCTAGATATATAGGTAAAAGTTAAATTTTTACATTTAATGATAACAGTTAATTGTTTCATTCGACCCAAGTTATCAACAGAAAAAAAAAATCAAGAATTAGATACTCACGATAGGTCTCTTCCACTCGAAGTTCCTTGGCGGTTGCTGGCTGAAGTAGAGACTGGAGTCCCTGGGAGGGAACTCTGGGTCTTCGAACAGGGTACCGGAAGCTAGGCATTGGTCCCGTAACTTGAGGAAGTCTTGGACTGGTCCTCTCGATCTCGTTCCAGAGCCCTTTTCTCCGAGCTGTAAAATAATATGGAATTGTTAACAACAGCTAAGAAAATAATAAAATACAACATTATGGAAAGGAGAAAAGGACATAAGTTGTTCGAAAATTACAATAACCTTCCATGTAGAATGGTAAAAACCTTATATCGAAATATTCCAGCATTCTAAAAGTTTTTGGATAAACTTAATTAAATGAGACAGGAATAAATATTGTACAATGTTAGCCAAAATTAGAAACCAATTCATTATGCAATGCTACCTTTTGAAGCATTAATGAACAGTTATGATAAGAGTTCAACAAGGGAAAGCCATGATAAGCCTCGGGAAAAGTCACGCGAGAGCTAATTATGATAATAGTGACACGACCACGGCCATTTCAGTTGGACATGGGCAGCTATTCAAAACCAATTAAAGACACATAGTTAATAATTCATCTTCTTCAATTTTGGTTCATTATTTTCAATAATCAACCATTGTGATCGACCAAAAAATTCAAAAACTTAACCCCCTCTCAAAATTTGAGGTTTCACGTTTCAGGATGCGTAGAATTCGAAAAACGAATACAAATTTTTTTGTCCGTCCGCCGTCCGCGCATTTTCTACGAAACTACTGAACCGATTTTTTTTCAAATTTTGATATAAAATCAGAGGACACCCGAAGATGATCCTCCTTCATCGACATTTACTTTCAAAATGGCGGCCGAAAAACCTGCATTGCTAGAGACTGTAGCTCCTAAACAAATGTACAGGTTTCAATGAAACTTCGCTAAAGTCATTTTCTCGGCGCCCTTTAAATTTATCTGTATAACATACTTCAACGAATAGAAGCTGGAAAAAAAGTTACGAGGGTAAAATTAAATTCCGAGTAACTAGAAAAGTGTTTACTTTTTTGTTGATATTGTGATAAGATGTTTCAAAGGTATTTAAATTACCTAAAAAATGAAGGAAGTTTCATCGAAATTAAAGTAGAGATATCGCGGTTTTTACATATTTTTGGTTTATTATTTTCAATAATCAATCATTGTGATCGACCAAAAAATTCAAAAACTTAACCCCCTCTCAAAATGTGAGGTTTCACGTTTCAAGATGCTTAGAATTCGAAAAACGAATACAAATTTTTGTTGATATTGTATATGTTTTTTTAAAAGTTTACGAAATTTCCGAGAAAAAAAATGGTTAAAATCGGACAATTAGGAGCAAAGATATGGTCTCCGGTTTTTTTAATATGTTCTACTCCAAATGTTATATCCTTGGTTTGGTTTTTAAATTTTGAATGTGTTACTGAACTAATGCTGTTTTTTTTTTAACATATCAGTAATGATTAAAAAAAAAAATTTAAATCCAATAATTGGAATCACCTTTTGCTTATTTTTCTTTATAACTCGGAAGGTAATGTTACTTTAGATGTATTTGTATAATTGTTTGGAAATAAGAAACCATTGTGAAATAATTTGCAGCGTTTTTTATAATATTCATTAGGGCTAATAAAAGTAAGTAATCAAAATAGAAGATGAAACAGTTCAACATTTATATAATATTTGCTTGTAAATGTAATTTTATATCAACGTGATATGTTATAAATACATGTATATACTGATAATCAATCTGAATTGAAGATAAGGATAATCAACAGTATTGATGTATAAGGATTTCATGATGAATCAGAAATCAATCACCATAATCAGTGATATACTAATTAAATAATATTTATATTCTTTTATTTGTTTTTATATTAAAACGTGTTTTTGGTTTGTTATTGGAAGCCGGAGGTCCATCCCTTAACTTTCAGAGCAAGAATAATTGACAGCAATTAACATACTACATAAAATTATATCAATCATAATCAATAACAAACAATTATAATTCGTCATGTATACGCAGAGTCACTAATAAGTACCCAAAATAATACATAACAAATATTATAATTCTTATTACTGCCTTATCTTATTCTAGTTATTAATTGCCTATATACAGAAGGCTCAGCAAGGTTCGATGATATTTTAGTAGATGGTGCGAGAGGAAAGCAAGCCTTGAAAGTAGTCAAGACCTTAAGAAAGGGGTCTCCAAACGTTTTGGCCCGCGGGCAACATTGAAACCTCGACTAAGTTCCGAGATTCGCACATTGACATCCACCCAAGTCCCGTGAACCGTGGCCTGATGAAAAAAAAAAATCATTTTCTATAAATGACATTTCAGCTGTGAAAAGAGATTTTTAATAGAAAACAATCTATGCAATAAATGTTTTAGTAACATCGTGTGTAGACGATTTGCTTAATTTCATATAGTTTTTAAAATTTTATGATCTCATCAAAGAAAATTTGGCGGGCCGGATATGGCCCGCAGGACGTAGTTTGGAGACCCCTGCTTTAAGATATAGTTAGAGAAAAGGTTATCTTTAAAAACTTCATTCTTTTTCTTAGCAGAAAAAGCATGATTGGCTAATAGAATTTCGGATTCGGGAATAGAGGAAACATTCCTCCTTCAACAGATAATTAGGTTTTGAAGGAAGTCAGCTCTTCCGTAACTTATTCCAATTACTTAGGTTGTTTAAAGAAGGAGATCTCTCATCCAACTCCCTTTTAGTCTCCCCCTCATGTTTTGAGGCATGTCAGCTGTGGCCATGTCTCTTATTAGGTCCGTTTAAATTTGTGTAAAATCGTTGATAAAGGATCGCTATATGTTGGTCAACTGTTGGAAGGTGGAGATCAGTATGCAGAGTTTTGTTAGTCACGTACCAAGGTGATTTTGTTATGAGTCGCAATAATTTTGATTGGAACGTTTGAGTTTTTTGTAGGTAGTCCTTTTTAGCGATGCCGTATATGTGTGATGAGTGCGTCCATATGGGTTTAAGTAAGTACGTATATGTATTCAGTTTCTGTTTTGGTTTTAGTTTTGAAGATTTAGAAAAAAAGAGAGTAAAGTAGTTTGAGTCGTTTGTTAAATGTTTCATGTTTCATTTTAACATGCGGACCCCATGTCATCCTTCTGTCGAAGGATTTTTTAAAATAAATACTCCATGAAGATTATATGATCCATACATAAAACGTCAATTAAATCTGTAAAAGTTGCTTATTATTGATTTAGATCAACGAAATATTTCTCATACTCAGGGGTGCCCAGAAGGGGTTTCATGGCGCAAAATGAGCCATTCAAATTTTTGAATGGGGCATATTTGACGGGTTTTTAAATTTTTGAGAGCGGCAAATTTCAAGGGGGTTATGAATTTACGGACTAAGGAACAAGGATAAAACATGGAACACACCGCAGTAAGTGTAATTGTACAATATATGATCTACGATGTTTCTAATTTTACCTCAGCTTGCTTTGTTTTACAGAAAAAGAGCAATAAAATATCTTTAGGTTCTTGGTAAAAAAAAATCACTGCTGCAGAATTGAGGTTTCTCCGAAGGATTGCAGGGAAAACGAGACGGGACTGCACGAACAACGAGAGAACCAGGGAGGAATTGGGGGTTCCCCCGATGAAGGATGTCGTGAAGACTCGGCAGCTTAAGTGGTTTGGGCATGTCATCAGGATGGAAGAACACAGAGATCCATTAAAGTCTACGGACTACGTCCCCAATGGTAGAAGACCCCGCGGCAGACTGAGAATGTCATACTTCGAATACGTAGACCGCCTGTGCAAAAATAGAAATAAGAATATACGTCAAGTCAGAAATCTTGCAAGAATCAGGGAAAATTGGCAATCCTGGTTAGATGCTCCCCTAAGCTGAAAGGCTATACAGGGTGATGCAAAAGAAGAAGGTTCTGGGTTATTGTGCCATAAATTTTGGGGGGAGGGATGGGTACCACTGTTTATACTTTTACTTTTGATAGATTCAAAATACTGAATTACTCGCGACTCTGACCTACATACACAGCCCTTGAGTTTTATCGGTAACAGTTCAAATGGTTCAAGGGGACGGGTATTCTCTAGAAATATAAAAAAAAAAAAAACCTGTACCACTACAATCCATGAAGGGTCTTGGGTTCAGTACTACATAGGGAAAGCACTATTTCACGGTCTAGCAGTGCGAAAGCACTAGATCAACGGTTGTGCAAGGAGGTCACGCTCAATTAATTAGGTTTTCGCCAGGTTTTCCCCCTTGATTAATTATTTAATTAAGGGTACCCACTTTATAGAGGCTTGATGTGCCCCAGGAGGGTCTACAGACCCAGGGTGGCCCCACGGCTAATGAAACAGATAAATAAATTTTCTGCCATGAGTTTGAACCTGGGACCTTTAGCATTGAAAGCTTAGTACCCTACCACTGAGCTACCCCACACCAACTAGAAATATAGGACAATGAAAAGCAAAAATTATGTATCAAACTTATACAATCCAAGATAAAATTGGTTTACAGTGTGTCATTTACAATTGTGTTCAGAATCGCAGTCTAGAATAGGTGATGTCATTATGTTGGTAATACCAACTGGGTATAATAGGAAGTGTGTAATATGTAAAACTTTAAGGTGAAGTTAGAATTCAAGTCACAATTAATTGAATGGTTTTATCTGGAATTAAATTAAGATTTTAATAATTTATATAGTAAATCAGGGATGTCCGTTCTTTTTATTATGCGTCTCACCATCAAAGGTTCTTTATATTTAGGCGGAGAATGACTAACTATACCTCCCTTCTTTCCATCTTCTACGCTCTATATATTTCAGTTAGACACTTTTATTGCTATAAATAATTCACCTATAGTAATTTTTTAGAATGTACCTATCTACTAATAGCTATTATTTATACAGTAAAAAGTTTTGTTATTTATATCAAACATTCATAGCCAAATAAAATAACCTAGACTAATACTTTTCAGTTATAGCTATAATTATTTAAATTTATTTTATTCATTACTTTTTTATTTATATTCTGGCTCAAGTTTACGTCCTTTAACTGTATACTCCGTGGTACAGACCAATTTTTATTAAATTATTAGAGTATAGAATGGGGCATTCCTATGGGGGATAGAATCATATAATTTTGTTTCTATTCCAAGGGCGGAATAGCAATAA